AGCCCCGCGGGCAGCGCGGACGGGACGCGGGGGCACTGCCGGGGCACGCCCGAGGTCGCTTGGGCGCTCCCAGACACCAGCCACGTTGGCCATGATGATCTGACGAGGTAAGAAAGCCGCCAGCCGTTTGAAGTCGGGTACGGGCCGGGAGTGGGGCGTTGGGCTGCTTACGCTTTAGAATCATAGTGTCAATCGTAGAATCAAGTAGGCTGGAAAAGAGCTTTAAAATGATTGAGCACAGCCGTTACCCCAGCACTGCCGAGACCACCACTAAAAGCATGTCACTGCGGGCTTCACCTGCACGGGGTTTGAACAATTCCCGGGACGGTGACTCCATCACTTCCCTGTGGTGCAGGCTGTTCCAGTGCCTGAGCACCCTCTTTGTAAAGAGATTGTTCCTAATCTCCAATCTAAACCTCCCCTGGCACAGCTTGAGGCCATTTACCTTTTGTCTTGTCGCTTGGGAGCAAAAGACCGACCCTGCTTCACTACAGCCTCCTTTCAGGTAGTTGTAGAGATCTTTATGTGATCTTCTGCCAGTACTGATTATTTCTGTGAAGTTCAGTTTAAGATACAGAGTCTTCCGTGGTACTCCTTTACGTCAGCATATGTTTTGTATACCTTCCTGAGATACTTCTTTATAAAGATCAGCAGGTTCCAGGAGCTGCTTGGCTTATTTGAGTTCATTTCACAGTTGCTGTCCTGGGTTCAGCTGTAACAATTACTTTTCTCTTTTCTAGTAGCTGGCACAGTGCTGTGTTTTGGCTTCAGTCTGAGAATAAGGCTGATAACACACAGATGTTTTGGTTTTTGCTAAGTAATGTTTACTCTGACCAAGGACTTTTCAGTCTCTCATGCGCTGCCAGGGAGGAGGAGCAGAAGCAGCTGGGAGGGAGCAGAGACAGGACCCCTGACCCGAACTAACCAAAGGGGTATTCCAGACCACAGCACGTCATACCTAAATGTATAAACCAGGGGGAGTCACCCAGAAGGGCAGATCACTGCTCAGATCGGGCTGTGGATCAGTCGGCGGGTGGCAAGCAATTGTGTCGTGCATCATCACTTGTGTTTATTGTTTGCTTTTTTTTCCTTTGCCTTTTCAGTTTTTTATTCTTTCCCCTTGTTATTTCCTTTAGTAGTAGTAGCAGTAGTAGTTTTATATTATACTTTAATTACTGGACTGTTCTTATCTCAACCTGTGGAGTTCATACTCTTGATTCTCCCCCACATCCCACCTGGAGGTGGTGGGTGGAGGGGGCGGTAAGGGCATAGAGGAGGGAGTGGCTGCATGGTCCTGAGTTACCGTCTAGGCTTAAACCGTGACAACTGCTCAGTCCCATACAAAACATACAAATTACTGCTGTGCTCATGAAGAAGTAGATACGCTGCATTTTCTTTTCATGGTAAAGGTGGAAACTTCAGAGGATTGAACTGTCAGAGCCATATCATCCCATGTTGTTGAAGCAGACTTGTGCAGGTCACTTGATGGCTTAGGTCTACACGTAAGGAAGGAGCATAACAGAAAAGAGCAGAACAGGAGGTCCCTCGTCGAAGCACCTTAAAGGCTCATTTGTTACTTATAAATAGGTTCACGAAGATGTTTCTGACTGTGAGAGAATTTAGTTTGTGCTGCTCAGAATGCTGGTGCACACAATCTCATTGAAAGTTTTGGGGTTTTAAATTCAGACAGCACAAGTGCTTAAATTGTCAATTGCAAGTTTGTCGAATTGAGCATTTAATGGGACACTTGCGTACACAGAAAACAAGCAGTTCTTGTGTCCTGTGTGTTGAGAGAAACTGGACTAGGCCACTGGCCATGATGAGTTAATTTTGTAACCAGTCCAGAGAACTAGGAATGTGGGAGGCTTTTTTGAGTTAGTATTTTTACTCTTTGAAATAAATCAAACCCAGCAGAGCTAATCCCCCTAACGTTTACTTAGTGCTTTGTTTTTCTCCCTGCGTCTGCTAGAAGAACATTGTCTGGTTTTTGAAAGGTTACTGTTAATACTATATTTTTGTGTTTTCAACCCTAACATCCTTTTTTCTATTTGTTCATCTTTGCCATGCTGTGGACAGCAAGGTGGGAGAAGTGCTTCTGTACTACTGCTACTGTGAGGTGAAGAATCCAGAGGAACTCTGTGCTTGGCAGAAGGCCCTGTGCCAGCATCTGCATCTCACTGGCAAGGTAAGGTTTTAAGCAACAGTTGTGTTCTTATTAAACAAACACCTTACTTGCTGAGTGCAGGGCAGTGTGACATGTAGAGAACCAAGTATTTTGCAGCAGAAGGTGTTGGTCTGATACGATCCATAAAGAAAGGCACTCAGGCTCTGTAAAGTATAATTTAAAATGCTGTTTAAGAGCTAATGCTGCAAAGAAAAAGAAAGCAATACAGACAGTCTTACTGTGTCTAGCTCTGGGGTCCCCAACACAAGAGTGACATACACCTGTTAGAGCGAGTCCAGAGGGGGACCACGAAGATGATCAGAGGTCTGAGGCACATCTCTTATGGAGACAAGCTGGGAGAGTTGGGTTTGTCCAGCCTGGAGAAGAGAAGGCTCCAGGGAGACCTTAGAGCAGCTTCCAGTGCCTGAAGGGGGCCTACAAGAAATCTGGACAGGGACTTTTTACAAGCACCTGTAGTGACAGGGGAGTGGCTTTAAGTTGAAAGAGGAGAGATTTGGGTTAGGTATAAGGAAGAAGCTCTTTCCTGTGAGGGTGGTGAGGCCCTGGCACAGGTTGCCAGGAGAAGCTGTGGCTGCCCCATCCCTGGCAGTGTTCAAGGCCAGGCTGGACTGGGCCCTGAGCAACCTGGTCTAGTGGAAGGTGTCCCTGCCTGTGGCAGGGGGTTGGAACTGGGTGAGCTTTAAGGTCCTTTCCGACTCAATTCATTCTATGATTCTATGATCCCTTTTGCTGCTGGGAACCCCAAGTTGTGCAGCACTGAGGGAACCTCTGGTCTGCACACAGGACATTGTGGAGACCTCTCCTTGTAAGTGTTATCCCATTTCCATAGTTCAAACTGTCAAAGACTTACTTTTTAGACATCGCTCGTACTGTCAGACAGAAAGGATAGTCACGAGAGAACTTCTTGATGTGCTTTCAGATAAAAGCAAGGACACACAGGTGGCATAATCACCTGTGTATCAACAGAGAGCTGCATGCAGGTGTCTCTGTTATGGTTATTGGGCTGAGTTTGTCCTGTGGCTAGATAGTGCAGCACAATGCAGCCTGAAGGTTGGGCTGAAGGTGCAGTGCCATACAGCACAGATCTGGGCTGGCTGTGATTAACTGTTATGTGTTAAGTGTATCACTTAACTCCTTAATGCGTCTTCCAGTCAGAATCACTAAATCAAGCTGTAATCCATACTCTCAGGAGTGAGAGAAAAGCAACTGACACCTAAGACCACAACCTAGGTTAGCCATGCTCATCCCTCAGAGAGTCTGTTCTTCTCATTCGGGCAGAGTAGTCTAAAGAAGGGAGTTGGCTCCATCTAGCTGGCATTTTGAGGATGTGTGGAAAGGTGAATGTCAGCCTCACAAAGCTGGCTGTGAAAAGGAGGATTTTTTTCAAGGGCAACTCAAAGCAGGAGATTAGTTTTATCTTTGACTTGTCTTCCCAAGTAGTTTTTTTTTTTCTGTGCTAACAGTAGCCAAATTCCCTGTTCTACACCAGCACAGGCCGGGGGGTGAAGTGTCCTGACTCATTCACTCCTGTATTTTTGCTCAGCTGTATTATCTGGTGGTTGGTATTTTTCTCAGTTTTATTGGTTTTTTTCTCATCTCCAAGACTAGTACAGCATTTGCCTTATCAACCAGTTGGTTTTTAGCTTGCCTCTTATATTCCATCTTTTGGGGTTTTTTACCACTTCGAAGTTTTTGTTCATTTGTCAGTGCAGGAGATAAAATGACTCACTGAAATTTAATATTACATGCAATATTATGCATATTCACATTTTCCTGTGAGCTGTGTGAGTCATTGGGCACAATCCTATTGTTCTTCCTGAGGCAGACCTCCAGTGGGAATTTTAATGCTGACTGCAGGATTTGCCTGTTAACTGGTTAGCATTTAGCTGCTTACTGCAAAAACTCTTCTGGCTGTCTTAACGTGATTCTTTTGAAATGGCTCAAAAGTGATGGCTGAGTTTCTATTCCTGTTTTATTTACTGTCTTTTTTATGTTCAGCTCCAGTTCATCTTTTCCGTTCATCTTTTTTTCCCCCTCCTTGGTAGTCTCTTTTCTGGGCATACTTCTGTGTCTGCCTTTCGTCACCCAGGCATATTTTAGTAATTTCACTGTGATCTCTTTTTGCTGTTACCAAGCCTTAGCCGCAGCTTCTTTTCTTACCCCCTAGGTACGAGTTGCTTCAGAAGGGGTTAATGGGACAGTTGGTGGAAGCAAAGTAGCTACCAATCTCTACATTGAAGCTATGCTTTCCCAGCCTCTGTTCAAAGACATTATGTGCCAAGAGGATTTCAAGGTATGAAAAAATAATTCCTACATAGACGCTGTTAATGCAGGACATTTATTTTTTGATAAATAAGCACATTGCTTCATGATAGCCTTACTTCTACTCTGCTTTCCCACATTGATCTAAGCCTAGGTTCCTAACCTTGCTTAGTTTAGGTATCTCTGCAAGTTTTCACCAGCAGTAGCAGTTAGCACAAGCAGTGGTGGCACCAGCTACAAGCTTTGGCAGCTATGGGCGCAGCTGCAAAGCCCCAATACAGGTGAAAGGGAGTGTGCTTCAGCTACACCATTCTTCAGCAAGCATTTACTCCGGCCTGACTACCAAAACCTTCACAACTTATGCTTACCCGCACAAAGTATTTCCATACTTTCCTCTTTGCCCTATTTTGAGATCCTTGCCTAGAAGCCTACTGCTTTAGGTTCATGCAGGTGTTGGCGTCCACTTAAGTTCACTGTCAGTTCCATGACTTGGATGTCTTCTAGAGAAGATATGCAGGCAGAGTCAAGAGGTTTCTCAGTTCGTGCCTGACTGGAGGGAGAAGTGCTAACTTCTGCTTAAGCCTAAGCATATGTGCATACTGCTGTCTTCACATGGTGACGGCAGCTGTGGCTGGCACCATATGGAATTCTGGTAGGCTTTTGCTGCCTCAGCACTGTAGGTACTGGTCTCTGCTTGTATAGCATTTTTCTTTTCCACACAGTTCTATTTGCAGCATGCTCCGTAGGGGCCTTGGCTGTCTCGTGACAGTGCTAGTGACATTGTTTCTGACTAAGATCTCTTCTCCTTCCTACTCCGCAGTGAGTCTGCACTTCATGCCAAATGGTGCCTGTCTCACCTGCAGTGTAGCCTAAGACGCCTGTCTTCAGTCCGTGGTAGGGGTCCATTGCCTAAACCTCACAATTTGGAGTGTGGGTTTCAGAAGGAGAGACATTTCTTGCCCTCAGCCACCAAGACACACTCATATTCCAGTGAGCTGTGGAAGTTAAATGAGTGGGTAATTTTAATCTTGACACCTGACAAGGTTTGGTTGGTTGTCTTTGTGTTTAATTTCCTAGAGCAGTGCAGGAGGAGCTCACTGTTTCCCAGACCTTCGAGTTGGAGTATTCAAAGAAATTGTACCTATGGGCATTGATCCAAAGATAGTGTCTTATAAAGAAACTGGTAAGTCCATTTAATGAAAAATAAAGCCTTTCATCCAAGTGAAACATAAATAAAGTACCTTCATCAAAGACATTGCCTTTTGCAGTGGCCAGGACACAGGAGAAGTGGATACAGAAATGGTTTTCTTACTAGTAGTCAAAAGTTACTGGTGCAAGAAATTTGCTGGCCCAGGTTTTGGTTTGCCAGGTGTTCAGCTGCTGCGAAAAACATTGGAATTAACTTTCTGTTTTGTGGAAAACAGTAATAGTTTTGATGTATGTCAAGCAATTACCTTGTTTTGGGGTAGGGACATACCTTGTACTTTAGTCAGGGAGTAAGTCATTGGGGTCTTGCTAAAGGCAAGATGTAAAGTGAAACTTTGATGGTTAGGAAAGACATTTCAGTGCTTGAATATATTTATTCTAAACATTCTGTGGGTGCTTAGACTGCTTAGAAGTGACACCATGTAAAGAGCCTTAATGCTCTTTCATTGTAGTTAGGTTGCAGTAAGGACCAAGTTGTATAGGCCGAGCTTTCCATGGAGACTTGTAGTGTATCTGTGTTCATATGTTAGGTGCTGCTGACTTTACTACTTTACTTGTTTTGAAGTTAACAGACATGCTCCTGCCTTTCAGAGTAAAAAGTAGCCTGACCTCCTGTGTCAGTTTCGTGCCACCCCCCTAACACAGGCTACGTTTGTTTTCTGCTACCTGCAGCTGCTTAGTAAGGATTATGGCCGGTAAGATGTTACTGGCTACGCTGTGAGGACACTTACGTAGGTGGTAAGTGGGAGCACAGTAAATAGCAATCAACAGAGCAGTTTTGGCCTTTTTTCCACCAACAGGTTCTGTTCGTGGTAAATTTCTACAGCATCTTTCTATGTTTTTCGCAGACGATGATCTTTTTCCCCTTTTTTGACAGTTTGTGGGATGTATGTTTGAATATTTCTTTCCTTTTTTTTTTTTTTCTTTTTCCTCCTATTTTACAGTGGTTTGTGGAGATGGTTCCCATTACTCTGTCAGGTTGCTTGTAGGGTTATTTTTTAATAAGATAAGGGATTTGGTGGGTGAGGTTTTTTGGTTTTCAGTAAGTTAAGTCGAAGCATCCTGAAAGCTGAGAAACTTTATCTAATAAATTCTTAAAGAAATTTTCTATTTTTATCAAGAGAGTTTGTTTAAAAAGAATGCATTTCTATATGCTTCTGTGCCTCCAAACATAATGAAAGATGAGCAAAGGGAAAGGAGACATTTTTCACTCTTACAACTATAAGAGCTGCCAGGGGGATGTAACAAAGATCATAAAGACAGGCGCCTGTCTGCTGCTGCTTCTGTCATGTGGAACAGTGTTGTATTTTCTCTCATTTGCCAATAGGAAGCCAAAGATGGATAAACTCGGCTGGTTGAATTGGGATGAAAAACCTGTGAACTGTCATAGAAAATTTTTGTTTGGAAATCTGAGGAGAATCTGTATCAGTGAGATCATACATAACAGTGTTTTGTAGTTCAGCTTCTCACACCCTTTTCTTTTCCTCCCCCCCTCCCTTTTTTTTTTTTTTCCCTTTTTAAGGAATCCATTTATCCCCTCAGGAATTTCATAAAGAAGTTGAACAGTATTTGTCTCAGGCCAGTCAAGGACAAAGTGATACCATCTTGCTGGACTGTAGGAACTTCTATGAAAGTAAAATAGTAAGTGTTGTTTGCCTCCTTCTTACAGTGTGTTACAGGTGCTGGTTCACACTGTGGGGGTGTAACCTTACTCGATTCTAGATTGGCTATAATATGTGCGAAGTTCAGTTTAGTAATGAGTACTTGATACAAGCAGCAGAGGACCTGTTCAGTGACTCAGTATGGAGCTTGCCCCAGCTTGGGGCTGGAAGAAGACAAAGCAGTACATACAACATTAGCAGTGAATACCATATAGTTTGAACTGAAAGTAGAATAACGTGTAAGGATGTTTCCCAGCATTTTTGTCTTGCCCGTTATGTCAAAAAGAGTAGGGGCATCCTGCTGTCACACCCACCAGCCTTCCTGGAGTGTTGTGGCTTGTCGTCTCTCTGACAGTTCTGCTCTGCTTAGCACACTCTTCTATGTTTGAATGGGAAGACGTGCTCTCCCTGGTATCCTCTTACAGATTTAACAGGTATTTTTATGCATAAATGCAGCCTAAAGCACTTGCAATGAGCCAAGTGGTGTGGCCCAAATGTTTGTTACTTCCTCTAGTTCGAGGCATAGACCTTACCATGCAAGTCTGCTTTATAACCAGTCACATGGCCATCTGTTGTGATTGCAGGGGCATTTCCAGGGCTGCCTGGCTCCAGATATCAGGAAGTTCAGCTATTTTCCCAGCTATGTAGATGAAAACCTGGAGCTTTTTAAAGACAAGCGTGTCCTGATGTACTGCACGGGAGGGATTCGTTGTGAAAGAGGCTCTGCTTATCTACGGAGCAAGGTGAGAAGCCATTCTGAGGGCACAAGTGTCAAGTAGTTGAGACTGCTTTAAGAGCAGCTGTCTTTTCTTTTGCTGGTAAATTCTTAACGAGCACAAACTGCTCAATGAGCAGGTGGGGAGATAAATGTCTCTGACGCACACTTGCCTCATGCTGTCTGTCAAGGACATGGGTAGCTTAATGCAGCTCAGGATGATTTGCATGGACTAGTGTCACAGCAGTGATTGCTCTGTGAAAATAATTATATAACCCATTTGGTGAGAAGAGGTAAGTCTGCCCTGACCATTATAGCAGTGTTTTAGGAGAGCTTGAGATCATTCTGCAGTGCTTCCATAAGCTCTGCCTTATGCGGTTATGCTCTGTGGTCATTACTGCACAGCTTGAGCGTCTCAGAGTGGTGAAAATCAGTCAGTCAGTGCTTTTACAGTGCTGTGGAACTAAATCCAGCACACTACATTGTTCTAATCGTACTTTACATCCCACTCTTCTCCTGGATCCTTCCCTCAAGGAGCAAGGGAACAGCTCCAGAGATTATTCCAGTGTTCTCCAGAGATTTAAACCTTGGTTTTTTTGTTTTATTCTTTTTTTAATTCTACTGCATCAGTATGAACTCTGAGAAATTCTGCTCCAGCTGACAGCTTGCCACATAAAAACAAAATAAGCAGAGGTGTTTCACAGAGTTTCAAAAGCGTTTCATCGGTGATGCATTAAACCTCCCTCAACTGAGGAGGTTACAAGCCTTCTTTTGGCTGTAATGTTAAATGCATATTTGGGTTCATGTGAACAATCCAGCATTGTGGAATTGCCATGTAATCTCTGGTGGCACTGCCTAGAGCTGTGGGTGCACGTGGTACAGATCATCTGACGATCACTGAGAAGCTGCTGCTTTTGGTTGACCCCTGGCATTTAAAACATTTGGTTTGGGAGTGGTGGCACACCAACACTTACCTGTCCTTCAGCTTTTCTGCTAATATGCTTTAAACAGGCGGTGTGCAGAGAGGTTTACCAGCTAAAAGGTGGAATTCACAAGTACCTGGAAGAGTTCCCAGATGGATTCTACAGGGGGAAGCTGTTTGTATTTGATGATCGTTATGCCATTTGTTCCAATGAAGATATCATCTCAGGTAGGACTAGATAATGTAAGTGCAGAAGACTGGGAAGCTATGTCAGTCGTTCCTAGAGAGATGTACAGGATGGGACAGCCTCTAGTAGTAGCCTGTGTAGTTCTTGATACTTGCCTTGACATTTTAGTGCTATCTCTTTTCATGATGATTACTAAATCTATGGATTTAACACATAAAACAGAAATGAGAGAAAAGGGAGTCACTAAACAGAGTTCCCTGAAAGTGGAGCAATAAAAGGAAGGATCCCCTGCAGAACAGCTGCTGTAACAGGCTGCCTGCAGCAATGGACATGTACATCAAGCACTACTACTGTTGTTACCCGCTTGTTGCCCACGGTGCTGATCAGCCTGTGGTTGGCCAAGTGGCTGAAGCATTAAATAGTTCTCCTGGTGTCAGCTGTTCTCTGCTCCACTGTTCTCTGTAATCTCACTGAACATCAGCACTGACTGCCAGGCACTAGAAGAGTGGGGGCACTAAGCTCTACAGCACTTCGTTGTTTTCATGCTTTAAAAGTTTCTGTAGCCTGTAGAATTTCAGTGTCCTCTAGTTGAAGCTGTTAAGAACTTCGCTTGGACTTCTGGCAGGGCTCACTTTTCAGATACTGCAAATGAATTACCTGGTTTTTGGTTCTCAGTTGCCTTGTACAAATAGATGGAATTTGCCCCAACCCCTTTTATAAAGCAGTGCTGGTTTTTGTCTGAGTGGGTAGCTTCTTGAGCCTAACCTCCCATTCCTCCTCTGCAATTACCATATATATCTTGAAGGTGCCTGGCTTGGTGTAGAAACAAAATGCTCTCTGCATACCTCACAGCCATCCCTACGGAAATTTCAAGAGGGGAAGTTATGGGGTAGGCACCTTCTTGGTGCTACGGCTACACTGGGCTGTAGCTTTCAGTTAAAGGGTTAAAACCTGTGATGTTTTGGAAGGATACTACCAGGACTGCAAATGACACGTCTGCACAAGCCATTGCTTTCAGGTGTAAGGAAGTCCCATGGCACCGCTTTCCCAAGCAGTCAACATTCCTGTATGCTGGCTTTATTACCACCAGCATATCTTTCTTCTTCTTGGCAGCAAGGACCTTACATCAAAATCAGAAGTTTAAAAATGAGCTAGGTTCTGGACGATCAAGTTAACCAGGAATTAAAAACCTGGAAGACAATAGATAGCCACGCAAATGAGAGTTGGCAGCCCCTTGTGCCACGGAGAACCCTCTGCAAGGGGGACAGATGGTGTGGGTGTTAACTTTTTCTTTTCCTCCCCCCTCCAGCATGCAGATACTGTGGGACGCTGTGGGACCAGTATAAACTTTGTTCCAGCCAGCACTGCCGACAGCTTGTCCTGGCTTGTCCAAGTTGTCGCAACAAAGGTCTTACAGCCTGCTGTCCTGTTTGTCAAGAGAAAGAGCTCAAAGTGACTTCAAGGGCTGCAGGACAGATACTTAAGGAGGAATGTGATTGTACAAGGAGGCGGCCAAGGGTACCTATTGAAAATGTTTCGCAAAGGATGCTGGTGGCAGGAAAAAATTAAGCCATTTCCTTAGCTAATCTGGCACGTGCTAATGCAAAGGGCTTCTATAACCAGATCCCTGTTACTCAGTTAGGTTTGGAAATCATGAAAATGTGTTGGCTTTGAAAGTCTTGTTCATGTGCTGCCTTTAAGCCTAGAGTATGTGCTGAAACCATCCATTATTTGACCATAAATTACCAGTGTGCCCAACCCACCACTAGCACTACAGGATTCCCTTTTCTGGGTCTTGTAGTGTGGCCTCTACCACGGGGATTTTGGAGCAGAGTTTGTGTGATGGGACACAGATGCTCACAATTCAAAAGAAACTGAAAGGACATAAGAAGAATTCCATTCTTTTCCTCCTGCATGGAGATCGATCTGTCCAACCTCTCCATTGATCACGCATTTGCTTCAGTAGTTAGTGTTTGGGTGTGAAAACAGCAGATGTGTCAGTTGGGTGTGGGTACGTGACTGGATTAGAGCTGAAGATATTTCCATGTACATGCCATCTGCCTGCCTCTCTAGTTTTATACCAGTGAGAAGCAAGAGGTAGTTACCCAAAGTCTGACTTGACTCCTGCCTAAAACTGGCTGAAGGCAGAGTAAGGACCCTTCTGGTAACTGGAGCAAAGGCCTACACGTCTTGTCCCATCATACTTCTTGTGTGTGACCTGTAGGATGAACAGCAAAAGTAATCCTCATTCCAATGTTCTGTCTCCCCAGGAATTGTTGTCTTCCTGAACTTGTCTGTACATCAAATATCCAGGGCTCAGCTCTGTTTGCACTAGAAATAAACGACAGCTTGAAGTATGTTGGAACCGAGACACATAGAGAGGGGAGCACAGAGACTGTCAAAATACCAGCAGTGTGGCACTGGAAGTGATGCTGACGTGTGCATAAATGTCAGCAGCAACTATACGGGGAATGCAGGATCCTTTATCCAAGTTAAATAATTCAAGATTTAGGGAGCATCTGTGCTTTGTAATTATGGGTTGAGTTTTTCAAAATCTTAGAGATGTCTGCGATTTCCAGCTCCTGTGAGCGAAGAAATTGTCTTTGAAGGGATTCACAGCATATGAGCTCAAAAAACTTGTCCACCTGCTGCTTTGTGTGCCTCATGCCGTAGAATGTACAGAAAGGTTTTACTAATAGTGTAGAAGATATGTCTGTACTGAAAAACGTCTTCGAAACTTACTGTCATTCATGGTACTGAATAGTAGTTAGTCATTAGGAAATGAAATCACACTTACTGCTGGGTTTTTTTTTTGGATTTTTTACTTGCAACTGCTTTTCAAAGCAAGAAAACAGTTTACTCAGGTTTCTGCAGCTCCTTAATGACAATTAGGGCAAGGTTATTTTTATGCATATTGTAACCTTCTCCCTCAGTGCTATTAATTCAGCCTCATTGTTGGTTTGACTAGCAACTTAGAGACATGGGCATTGGTTCCATTAAAGCCATAGCAAGCATTTCTTCTGACTTCCAGTATTGCTACCATGAAATCAATGGTTCAGCAACTCTTTTTATGAAGCCTTCATGAAGCAAAACTGAAACTTACGAGTATCTCCTTTGAGGCTCTTTCTAGGATGGTATTTAATAGTAAGTGTGTGCACAAGCCATACTGGAGAAGAAACTGGAAAATTCTCATCAGTAGACACCTTCAGTGGAAGTCTAAGCAAGTCCCTTGGATCTTCCTTCCTGAGCTTTGCTGGCCAGTTAACCTCCCATGTTTTTGAGGACTGGAATATTTGTGGAAAAACATGCTAACAGTACGTGCAGTCTAGAGCACTGCTGGGAGTGCCCAGCTTGCGTATTGTACTCTCTCTTTTCTTCATGTAGTAGGCTGAAAAGAACACAATTTTATAACTCAGTCTATCAGCAAGGCTGGAACACTGTAATCTATTTGGAAGGCTGTTTGTATACCACTTGTCAGTACAGAATGGCAGCAACTATATTTTATATGTAAACTCCTATGATGATAAATAATAACCTCTAGTGCTTCCACTGTAATTTTTAAAGTACGGCACAAATATATTTCACCTGGTATGTTGGAGGTGCTTAATTTTGCAGAAATAAATGCTGAAACCTAGCTAGCTGCCTGCCATGTGGTAGACCTGGCTATAAAGTACAATCCTCCTGAGAGTTCCTGGCAGCTGAAAATTCTACCTCAAAGGCAGAGGGGAACCATGGAACCTCTTCTGGTCCTTGCTGTACTAAGGCAAGGGAGGAGAAGGGTTTGAGGTGTACAGATGGAGGCCCGTAAAGCCAGGTTCCCTCTGCTGCAGAGAGGGGAGGGGTGGGGTAAGAGAAATCCCTAGCTTTCCTCTTGCAAGTTAGCTGATGAGCAGCTTCTCTATCCTGCTTCTGAATTAGCTAGTTTTGTCAGATTAATACAAATAAGAACTTGCCATGTGAAATGCTGTGTGGTGGATTCCAGGCAACTCAGTGGTAATGCCCCAGAGAAGGCACATTAGCTCCAGGAGAGGTGAGAGTTAAGCAGTGCTGGCTGTGACTGCCAGATACTGCAGTCAGCAGTATGTTCCTTCCCCCTTTTCTTGGAGAGCTCCTGGCTCAGTGACCCATTTGCTCCCAAGCATCACCATTTTGTAGCTCCCTCACTGCACAGCTTGATGCCTTTCACCACAAAACCTGATGCTTCTCAGCACAGCCCATTTCCACACAGCTTATGCATTTTTCAGCAAAGCGGCTCTATAAGAATCAATCAGCTGAGGAATCCTGTCACCTTACTATAGGTTTGGGCTGCATGGTTAATGTAGGTACTGCTACAGTGAAACAGAGGACAAGGTTCTTGCTTAGCTTTTTTTTTTTCCTGTTTTTTCCTTCTCTTCTTAACGGTTTTTTCACTTAGGAAAAAATGCTGTTGTAGTATCCATGTTGTGCTCCTTGCTCTGCAGATGAGTCTCCTTGCATGTCTTAGCACTGTCAGGATTTCCCAAGTTAAGATGCATTTACGTTTGGCTGAAGCCTATGGAAGAGCTCAGCCTGTACCATGCAGATCCGAGTGGATGGGTCCACTGAAACTGTGGCTCAGGTCTGATGATTTAGTTGACCATTTTGAAGTCTTTGCAGTGCACGTGGAAGAAAGAGGCTGTCTGCCAGTTTATTTTATTTTTCTTTTTCTCCTTAAATGCGTTTTCAAGTATTTTTCTCCTGCGTTCTTTTCATTTTCTGGTAGAAACTTTCAGGGTAGGGGGAAGAAGCTACAGTGAAGCACTTTATTTGACACCAGGGGTGCATTTATTAAGCTTTGAAGAGCAACAAACATGTTTCCTGCACTGCTGAAAGTACAGTGTTTCTCTGTTTCACTGCTCAGAGGTAAATCACGGGTGGTATTTGTGCACAAGCTCTAAAGGAATCTGTGGGACTTTTGCAGGGGTATGCGTAAAAGGCTGCAAAACTTCACTCTTAACAGATGCATAAAGACAGATTTCTAGCAAGTGAAAACATTTTCTAGGACATGTCATCAGACCAGGAATAAGGCTTTAGTATGGCAGAGCTTCTGTCAGGAGACTCTTCCTACAGAGCAGGATCCCACCCAGGTTAATAGCAGGAGTTTTGGATGGGATAGGGCTGGGTCCTCTGCATGTCTGGGAGCTATGCAAGCCTGTGATGAATTGCTCCCAGGCTAGATGATGGGTGGTAGACTGTCCAACAAAAAGCTATCAGACTGTATGCAGTGTAAGTTCAGAGTTGGGCTATTTCACTGACCAGCTTTTCTACGGCACAACATTTATTGTTGCACTTATGCAGACATTAGGAATGGCAGTAAAAGAAAATCCCCATCAGAACAAAATTTAATTAGTGGACATGGTCATCCAGACGAAACGGCAAAGAGAGAGAATGTGACTTGTTTCCATTGAGTATTTGGACACATGCTTTAACATTAGGAAACTGAAGGGAGTAAGGGTTAGATAATTAGTTTGGCCAGCTCTGTGGGTTTAAGATTTGTGTCACTTCTCTGGTGACTGTTTTCTTCAGATATGGATAGGGTAGAAGAGTGTTAGCCCACCCTAAACTGCTCAATTGTTGGGACTCTTATTTCATAATTGGTGGCCTTAAGTTCCTTATAATTAGGGGGTGGAGAAAATGAAACATGAGGATGTGTTTGATACAGCACCTCCAACAAATTGCCTCAGCAAAGGTCAGGAAAAAACTGTAATTCACAATTCTTTAAATTAGCCATGTTTCCAGGTAGTAGGAGTGCTTGTTAAAGTAGTTGTTCCTCCATAGTTGCTTGAGATAATTTGGGGGGAAAAAATAAAGTATTTTTTTAACACTTCTGTAATTTGTGTGGAGCAGTTGTATCTTTAACTCATGCATACCACATCCTGACTGTATGAAACACCGTGCAGGAAGTCTATAGAAAAATTAGGTCCCAGGTTAATTAAGAATCACTTTTACACTGGGATGTATTTTAAACTGAAGTTGCATAAAATTGGCAGGTTGTCACTGGCTTGAATAGTTTCCAACTCTACAGAAAACATCAATAGTCCTACTGGGTAAAATCTTCAACTACAGCCACTAGTTAATTTAAACTGATAGTGCATAAAACAGAACTGAGGCACCACAAATACTCTGTCAAGGCACTTATTGCCTTTAGATTTCCACAGTGTAGAACAGATCGCCAGGAATGACCTCCACAGCCAGGAATTACACTCCAGTTCTGCACTTGGGAAAAATAGGCCCGTTCAACTCTGCAAGTCTTCTCTTCCTCACTGAAAAAGAAGAAGAGCAGTCAGTCATGGCAACAGGAAGACGTGGATGGCAGGCTTGGCTTACCCGCTGTGGAAAGGAGCCGAGAGACCTACTTTCTGCCAGGAAAGAAACAGGATAGCATCAGCTTCTGAATTCCTGCATTAAGCAGCAGACGCAGCCTTACGCAGTTTAAAATCAAGGAAGATAAGATGAGGTTTCTGTGCCTATGAATTTTTAGGGCCAGAAGCTACTTTCAGCCTTACCTCCCTTACTCTACAGTCAGTTCTAGTTCACACAGTTTGTAATCTGACTTTGGCCAAAGCATCATCTGATGCTAAGTGATCTAAAAACAAGACATGGATGTCACAGTTTTTCCTTTGCTAGTTTTACTCAACTGCCCTTCCAAATTAAATAAATAAATCTATCTTCTTTTCTTATCCTAAGCCTTCAGCCTCCAGCCCTCTGATCATGGTTAACACAGTCAAAGCAGCCTCATATCTACTCCTAAAGCTGATGTACAGCTCTGACAGCTACACTCAGGACTTTTCAAGAAACGTATATGAGGAAAAAAGGGAAAAAAAAGTGTAACGGGATGCAGAAGTTAGCTCATGAGGATGAACGTAAAGGCCTTCATAGTTGGTTCATACAGAGCATCTTAGAGAACAGAAGCTGTGAGACCAAAACCAAGTTCTGCTAGCATCAGGTGATGACAGGCAAGAGCACTGGAGTGGAGCACAAGCAGAAAGCTGTTGCTGACAAGGAGGAAAATAAAGTTTTTCTATACTTAAACATTGTCCAGGTGTAGAGCTGAGATGCTATTGCCAGAGACCATCAGACCAATGAATACAAGCTGCAAACAAGAAGCAGATCAGGCAAAAAAATGCGGATCTGAATGGAAAAAGGCAAATTTCACAACTGTAAGATGGAAGGCAACTGGTGAATTATTCCCTTTAACAGCAGGAACAATAAAACAATAAACAGCAGGAACGGGATTCAAATCTTCCAGCTGATTGCCAGGTGCTGTGTGGTCATTAAAAACCTTGCTGTCTTCAAAAGGACAGAAAATAGCCAGCCTTTCCTGGTGCAGCTCTCTGGTGACCAGGAATGCAGCCAGAGGCAGAATAAATGTGCAGTGAACCATAATACTGAGTATTCAGTGTGGTCCCTGAAGAACTGGCACATACTCCCATGCTTGGCTGTGCTTCCTAGGAGCACGATACTGGCTGAAGCAAGATTGACCTTTCTATAATTTTTAAAACAGAATATTTATCATCCGTTTAAATACAGCAGCCACTTAAACTTTTTCTGTGGCTTTTAAACCTTTAGCTGATTTGTGAAGGTACAGAAGCCCCCATCTGTGGTGAACCACACACAGATTAAAGCACTTGGTTGCAGTTTTCCACCATTTCTCACGGCTGGCATTCATACCTTATGCCATTCATACCACCCTCCCATGGGTTCTTCCTCATGTACAAAAAGGATAATCTGCAAACTTCTGCTTATTTCTCCCAGATACATTGTCTGCCGCTGCCGGGAAGGAGTTCAGTGCTGTCATGTCTGTAATCAGCATGGCTGGTACATTGGCTGCATTCAGTACTGCTCTGTGGGACTGATTCCCAGTGCTCTACAGCAGCTTGTAGCCAAGCAATGGAAAGCCCAGGCCGCACGCATCGGCTGAAACGGCAGTCTGCAGACTTGCCCACATTTTGCTTCATAAGCAGTTCCCATCACTTCATTGAGGGTATAAAGATAACTCAATGCCATGTGGCTTCCCACCTCTCCCTAAAAACACTTCCAATTTGTTTTGCCGGAGGGGATGGCCAAGTCCCACTGCCATCGAAGTTCAACTCTACTACTTTTCATCTCCTTGTTAAAGTGGGAATGAAGCTGGAGGAAGACAAGCAGTTGGCAGGAATCTCAAGTGCTGGCAGCTCATAATCCATGTGCCATATGCTGTATCATGTGCTGTGCCGAAGCACATTAGCAGCTCTCACTCCTTCCCAACAAGACCCACTGTTACTGCCAAAAACACTGCCTCTTCTGGGAGATCTAGCTGCCCCATGTCTCCAGGTTTGGACGACAACTCTGTCCAACAGCAGCTGCACTGGGGAACCAGTCAGTGAAGGCTGCTTTCCTCCTTGAGGGGCAAGGCATCATCACACTCTTCAAGAGGTGGTTTCTAATTCAAGCACATCCACCAGAGCTTTCAACTTCTGTCCCACTTCTGCCAGGACCTGCCCACAGGAGCTTCCTGCGCTCCCTGGCTTGCAGCCCAACTCACCTAGGTCATTGTTATTCATCATGGCATTGGAGGCACGGAGCCGGGGACCTTGCTGAGTGAAATGGTACCCAAACTTCAGCAGGGAGGTGTTCTTTTCCAACATGCTCGCAATCTCCATTTCTACTTTGTTGCCCAAGGGCTGGCTCTTTAGAAAACAGAAAAGCAAGCTGGTCAGGTCAGAGGGCAGTTCAGAACGAGCACTTTTGTCTGCCATCTCCACCCTTTCCCTCCTTCTTTGAACCTGTTGGTCCATTTAGCATTCATAACTTATAGCTGGTGAAACAAACACTGGACTATTTCTGGTACAACCAAGTGGCTCCAACTGCCACAGCAGACGTTCCCACAAGTCCTTTTGCCCAAAGACTTTATTGCTTGGACACATCTGCAGCTAAGAGATGTCTGGAGAAACCATGATTTTGAACTCCCAGTTACCTGCCCCTCAGCTCCCATTAGCTCAGCTGCTTTACTACCACCCCGTGGGTTTCTGGGGGACCTGAACGTGCCACAGCGCCTGCTCCACTGTACACTCTGGAGCTCTCTTTAACATTTCAGTTTTACTAAATAGACATTATTATTTAAGTCCGTGCAAGAGCTCAGAGCACAGTGTGATACTGGAGAGGTGCGGACAGCTGCCTTACCGCTCTCCACGGCAACACAAGCACCATGGAAAGCTGATAATTGTGTGTAGTACCAGATGCTGCCCAGGAACTGCAGCAGGAACAAGGGGCTGAAACGTCTTCAAAGCAACCTGGCAGTGGTGGAGGGCAGCAGCCACTCAGTTTCCTGCACGCAGGACACGTTCACTGGCTCAGAGCCCCCGCTGTTGCAGGCTTTACCTGGTTGTCAATGCGCAGCTCTACAAGTGAGGTGTTGCCCTGGAGCGCTTCGACAACAGCCAGGATCCCGGACCCAGAAATGAAGTTTGATTCCACGTTCAGGCTCTTCAGTGTGTTGTTGACCTTCAGCATTTCTGCCAGTGCCTGTGGGCAGAGGAGGGCAGGAAGAGCTGGCAGTCAGGCGGAGTTCCTGGGTTCAGAAGCAGGGGTTAAGCTCCCCTTGCCTCTGGAGGGCACTGGGAGGACCCCATGTGCTGAGCAGTTTCACTGCCACCAGATAGGAGAGCTCTGTAGGGTGAAAGGGATTCCTGAGCATGAGCACGTGGGAGGCCACAGCAAAACCTTGTATGGACAAACCCTTACGACCATCCCAAAAGGTGACAGTACACATGCCTTGTGATAGCTTCTCTCCCTCTTCTAAAGCCAGCATGGTGATGGCAGGGACGCTGGCCAGCTTCAGCCCTGCTTCCTTTCTGCACTGCTCCTTCTGTGTTGGGCTGAGATGCTTCCCATCACAGTACGCAGAGAGAAGAGCATCTGTCTTGGACAATAAGGGATTCTCCACATCCAAGGTAACTTCCCAAGTAGTATCACAACCATATTAATCACTTCTGCTTCCCTCAGCAGGCAAGACCAGAAGTGGGCTGGCACACTCCAAACCCACCTGTCCTGATCTGACAATCTCACTTTACAAGCTGCATGGGAGGACCCATCTATGCCACAAAGCAGAAGGACCAGCAGGTAATGCCCAAGTAGCTGGGCTGGCCTGCACCTATTCACACAGCACTTGGCTCCTGGACAGTGTTCCATGGGCCCTCAAACAGCACGAGTGCTGCCAGCACAGGCTCCTTCCCCAGTGCAGAGTGCCTGAAATACTGTGAGGGCTGTACTTGCTCTCCAAAAAGAAGGGGTTTTCCCAACAGGCAACTTGTGTGCACATGTGTGCTTGGAGGTAGGCAGGAGTGGCCTGGGTAAAGAAGACCAAAAACTGTCTGCAATGGAGCTGGAGGAGCGTGCAAGGATGCAGCCTGGAAGGTAGCATGAGGGCCAGGCATAATGCTGAACACCTCCCTGCATCCCTACTGATGTTTAAGACCCCTTGCAGCACCCAGAAAGACCCTTTATCACTCACACAGGCCACAAAGAAGAGATGCAGTCCTGCTTCTGCACAGGTCTGCACAAAGGAATGTATGAAAGAGCTGGAGCAGACATGTGCGAAGGGAGAGACAGTGGGCACACAGCAGCATATGGCTTTGTACCAACAGAAACCAGAGGGGTGGCCCTGGTGTAGGATAAGAGACAAACTGCTTTTACAAAGTGCTGCTAGGAAGCCGGTTCTTGTCTCCCGCTTCTCTTCAGGGAGATCCTTGAGGACAAATATGAGATCGCATGGGATTAAAGGACTGTGTCTTGAAACCTCCACACGTTTGTCCCAAATCTCCCCAAATGTCCTGTCTGTCGCTGGTTTTCACTAGCACCAAATACCAGAGGCACAGAATGTGCCAAACATGATGTGAGGTGCAAAAGCAGTCACTCAGTAACTCCAAAAATACCTTGCCCAGGAACAACTCCTGTCACAACTTTAAGACGATGAGCCAAGAGTACTTACAAAAGCAACAGGATCATTGCTCCGTGTCCCAACTATACTGAACTTCTTCACATATGTGTTATTTTTCAACGCTTCTGCAAAAGCTTTTAGTGTTGGTATGGGAATATTCTGTGAAAAGAAGTGCAGAAAACCTGTTAGGCCATTAGCCATATAAAGGAACATGCGATACATTTAGGTGATACTTTAAATTTCTTATCCATCACCAAATGCACAGAAGTAATTTAAGAAGAGGTCAATAAATGTTTTTACAAGTTCTATTGCTATAATCAGTGTCGCCTAAGGAGCATGGCAATGTCTTCCCCTCTCTTATGAAGAAAGACTGATAGAGTTGGGCTTGTTCAGTCAGGAGAAGAGAAGGCTCCAGGGAGACCTTAGAGCAGCTTCCAGTGCCTAAAGGGGCTGACAAGAGATCTGAAGAAGGAGTTTTTACAAGGGCCTGTAGTGACAGGACAAAGAGGAATGGCTTTAAACTGACAGAGGGGAGATTTACATTAGACATTAGGAAAAAATCCTTTCCTGTGAGGATGGTGAGGCCCTGGCACAGGTTGCCAGGAGAAGCTGTGGCTGCCCCATGCCTGGCAGTGTTCAAGGCCAGGCTGGATGGGTCTTGGAGCAACCTGGTCTAGCGGAAGGTGTCCCTGCCCATGGCAGGGGATTGGAACTGGATGAGCTTTAAGGTCCTTTCCAACCCAAACCATTCTATTATTCTACGATTCAATTTTCCACTCCGCTGATAGCTCACTGCCTTGATTTGAAGCTACAGTGTCTCTGCTCTTTAATTTAATTTCCCGGAAACTCATCTAGTTAGGAGTGCAAGTGCTGTGGGGATGTAGGTAACTAAGATCCATGAGCCTACAAAGCGCTGCTCCTGCGCTTTTTAATACAAATGGCAGCACTGAGCAACATTAATGTCATGTTCAGGAAAATTTCCACCTACAGGGAGGGCCTGATCCAGAAAGGTATGAAACCACCTCCTTGTAGTACAAACCACAGACACCTCTGATTGCTTCATACAACTTCTTTCAGGCTAATATTTGCCATGCTAAGTCTCGGCCCAGAAAATAAATCCATGCTGCTTATCCTGGTTCCTACAAAATGAGTGTTTTTCACTTATCCAGCAGTTCAGATGCCCTTTTCAGATGCATGGATTTTTGCCTGTCGAGAATTTTAAGTGGTATCCTCAGCTTGAAGTTCTTGCCACACCATCTGGATCCCACCATGTGGAATCACCTATAGTCAAAACCATAACACAGGAGCCAGCAGTTTACCATCTCCACCACTTCCCAGTTCTCCAAACTGCGTCCCAAAGTCATGAGTCCAACACACACAAAAGTGCCTGCCTGCCAGATCCTCAACCTGTTGTCCTCAAGGGACATTCAGGGTCACTAGCCAGAATCAAATACATGAAAGTTAAAATCTTTTCCTTATAGAAAGCTGCAGGTGGCACAGCACAGGTGTTTTTAATGTGCATGTGCAGTTAACCATGTTCTTGCTGTTTGAATATGTCATCATTCAACAGACCCCATGGGATGGAGGTCCTGTAGTCAGGGAAGACAGATGGAAACAGTGTTACTTAGTATGTGTATGTGTCCCAGAGGCAACTAAAAACTACTGCTGTGTCCTGATTTGCTCTCTACAAGTAGTAAAGGTGTCCCACAGAAGAAATCGGTGGGAGATGGACAGGGCTACCTGCAAGAAGGGAAGTTTCTTCATATTTTAATTGCAAGTGTCGAGATTTTTCCTTTTTCTTTCACACCATTTTAGGTTAACATAAACAGCCCCCTGCCCCCCAAAACGTGCCTGACTAAATCATTAAAGCAACCTAGAATGCCTTTAACCAGACAGGCTGGAGATGGGTCTCCCAGGCTACCCTAAACACAGCTCCACTCTTTCAGGCATCTACAGGAGTCCTGCTACCATTGCCCCACAGCAGGTAACAACACCTGTTGCCCAAAACAGAGATGGGAAGCACTGGTGTTCCTTGTCTGGCTACACACAGTGTTATGGTATCACTGTGCAGCAAAATAGACTTGGTCTCTGCCTTCTGTGTATCAAATATTTGGTTCTGTTGCTAAGAGAGGAGAGTAGAAAGGAGCAAATACCATAATATTGTTAAGGTTGACTTCCTCGAGGTCAGGATCATTGCTTTGTATTCGTTTCAGAGTTTCCTCCACATCCGTTGAGTTTGGTTCCTCATCCGGAACTGGTTTGTACTGTGTGGGCTTAATTACACCTGCAAGTGTAATGACAAGCAACATATGTGAAACAGAAAGCACCCTGAGCAGCAGCATGGTCTCTTCCAGAAGCAGTGCTGGGAGAGGGAAGCATGACTGGACACACAGATGCAAGGTGAGAGACTGAACAAGCATTCATCAGCTTCACCTGTGCTCATGTATATCCACAAATGCTGCCCATCGCTGGAGACAACTGGCACATGACAGGTTGCCTCCTGCTAAATGCTAGCAGGGTCCAAACCTAGGTGATGGAGGGCATTCAGCCTAAAAATAATTCCCACTTTTCCTCTGCTAGCAGCTTCAAAGCCAAATGCTGCAGCCTGCTGACACTCTAAATCACTTACTGTTGAGCCCTTCTTTGTTCACGATGGTGCTGCTCCCCAGCGCTTCATAGTACTGCTGGTTACTCATCAAGGTGTGCATACCAAGGATGGCTACAGAAAAAGAGAAGGAGAACATGAGTTATTATGGGGTCCAAAGCCAGGAAAAGATTCATACATGCTGTGCTTCCTGGGATAGGGTTACGTAGCACATTACGTTTCCCTGGGCAAGCACAGAACAACATACAAAGGTGGGACCAAGCCCTCTGGCTGTCGTACATACACAACAGGGCTCAGATGTGCTCCCTTGTATATTCCAATGTAGCACAATTCATAGGAGAAGAGGACCATCATCTTGTGGACAACGAACAGACAAACAGCTGAGGCTTCCCAGTAGCCAATTTGACTCAGCATCACACAAAAATACCGAGGCGAAGACAACAAAACACTAAAATTGCCACTGGTAGGCTTTAATCTAAGGCGTCCAGTCCAGTAGGAGCCTGCGCATCCTCATCCCCTCTGGACATGTGCCACTCACTGTGACGGTCAGCGTGTGAGATGTGCTGCATCCCATGCAGAGCCAAGTGGTGACTGTCATATGAGGCATGGCAACACACACCATGTTCTTACTCAACAAGAAGCAGGGGCAGTGATGGTGGTGTGCTCTGAACTGATCTTTGTATGCTTGGAAGTTGATGCTGTGAGAAGCTAAAGCTCTGCTGGCTCAGACAAAATGCAGAAAGTGGTGGTATGAACAAAAGTAAAAGACTGTAGGAGCCCAAGAGCTGAACTTCTGCCAACTTGTGTACCTCAGGCTCATAGCTCAAAACCAATATGCAAATGCATACTGAAACCTACCCAGGGGTATCTGCTGACATTCTTGCCAGCTGCAAATGAGCAGTGGGAAGCCAATGGCTTAGAAACATTTGGGCAAAGGTTCTGTTTTAAAAATAACCCTGCTACTCACAGCAAGTTCATGTTTGAAAATAAACTCTATTTTTAATCAACTTTTCTTTTATAACTATATGACTTTAAAGAAAAATGCAGACACCTGAATACTTGCTATAATCAGACACATTTGAAGAAACCTTGGCCTCCAGATGGGCATAGTGGCTAAAATAAATAAATGACATAACCCCTTAAAATTCAAACATGCCACCGCAAAGGCACTTTGCTTTCCCATGAGCTGCTCCTCTTACTCAAGTCCATCACCGTTACCTCAGTGCTTGGCCAAGAAGGGCCAGGAGTTGCAGGAGAAGGCTATCCCTGCGGCCCATAAAGTGAATGGAATCTGGTATGGTGACAGCTCACTGTGGCTCCGGGTCTGGGTTGCACAATCAGAACAGTCTGCAGCAAAGGATGTGAACAAACACCACCATCCACTCCCCAGCACATCCCTGACTGGATTTCGCAGAGCCAAGCAGCCTCTGTCTGAAAGTCTGAGTGAGGCTGGGCACTTTGCGCTTGCTGTTTGTATTTCAGTTGGCCCCTTCCTCTGCCATCTACTCACAGATTAAGTTTTCAGGAGTGCAAAACAGCTCACAGAAATAATTTGCAGGCTCAGCATTTTGGGGACACACATATACCCCAAACACAGCTTACTCTGACAACAGAATCTCTCCACCAGCCAGGACTGTGGAAGGATCTGCTGTTATGACCTTGCAGGGTTTTGGGGGCTAGAGCTTGTGCTGATAGACAAGAGGGACTTGCTGTTTGTAAGTCTGGTGCTTGCTGATGTGTTATCCAAAAGAACTCTGGGAGAATGAAGACATCCCATTTCTGCCTCCCCCAGCTGACCAAAGGCATGGGAGCCCTTCCAGGACTTGATGGGAGCCACCCACAACAGTTACCTGACTGGCCTTGCCAAGGACGGGATGCAACACACCATGGCTGACAATAACAAGCCCCGCTAAATGGGCAGGAGCAAAACGAGCTCCTACAGATGACCCTTGCTACACAGGCAGAAGCAACACTGCCACTGTCAATATTGAGATTTCAGCACAGCTTGTATCTCATCAGTTCCCCTGCTGCCACTTCAAGTGCATTCTCCCAACAATTCTAGAACCAGGTGCCCCAAAACAGCATTTCTCTGGGAAAATAACTGCTGCACAGATCTGGAGTTTAGAAAGGCAGAGTTTAAAGGACAGGGCTTCAAACGGCTCTAGAAGTACAGAGGAAAACCCAGAGATGCAGTGCTTAGCCAGGGTACGTATGTTGGAAGCCTTAATGCAGAAACTTATTTCTAATATAGAATATAGTATTATTATGTAGAAGATGTCTAGTTCGCATGGTTATTCTACAGGCTACCTTACAGACTGCTGGCCAGGAGGATACTGCTAGGGAATATGGAATTCTGAAGGAAATGGAACTGGAAGAAGGACCAGTAGCACTGAAATACTCATCAACTGCTAGATCAGCAGGGATGTGTGAACTCAGTAAAGCACCAAGAGGTTGTCCTGGTTTCAGCTGGTACAGTGCTGTGTTTTGGCTTTAGTCTGAGAATAACGTTGAACCATGAAAGGGGTATTCACATGCTCATTTGGCCAAGACCTATCCGATCCCAGTCACAGAGCTGAGCCCACGCTACTGGTTACAGCAAGATACCAATATTGTCATCTCTGAAGTGGCAGAGCAAGGAGGCTTACAGGAGGTCACCTCCATCCAGAAAACACTGCCAGAAAAGCAGCAATGGGACACTGCTTGAACTTGCCTAGCATGGAGGTGTAAGCCCCTCAGGTAGGTAGGGACCATGCCTGTACCTGGCTCATTGACCCTCCTGGTGGAGAGCACACTGTCAGGGCTTGAACAGGGCACCTGAAATTGCTCTGGCCCCCTCTCCAGCTTGCTATGCATTTCAACCTGCTTCTCAGTCATCAAGTGCCCCAACCTTTCAATGCTGAATTCTCCCACCTGTGAACTAACACTCTCAAAACCGGCCGAGTGCACAAACAGCAAGAAAACCATAGCTTTACAATGAGCTAGAGAAGCTTCTTAACAAATCACATCCCTGAGCATCCATTGCAAGTCGACTCTAACCTGACAGCTCTTATAATAGGTTACACAAGAAATCCACATTCTCACTGGGTCTGCTTGATCGTTTCCTAGAGGTTTGCCTTGAAGAAAGCTGCGCTCCTGAAGGTGACAGGCTGCAATTTGCAAGATTCAGTGGCAGAGTCAGGAGAAGAGATTAAAGAGCACACTCTGTTCCCTTGATAAACCCTTGGTTGATGAAGGGAAGGCTGTGGACATCGTCTGTTTGGATTTTAGTAAAGCATTTGACACCGTCTCCCACAGCGTTCTCCTGGAGAAATGGGCTGCTCATGGCCTGGATAGGTGGATTATTCGATGGGTTGGAAACTAGCTGGGTGGCCTGTTTGGAGAAAAAAAAGGCTCAGGGAGGACTTTATTGCTCTCTACAACTGCCTGAAAGGAGGTTGTAGTGAGGTGGGGTTGGTCTCTTCTTCCCAGGTAACAAGTGATAGGACAAGAGGTAACAGCCTCAAGCTGCACCAGGGGAGGTTTTAGATTGGATGTCAGGAACAATTTCTTCACAGAGAGGGTGATCAAGCACTGGAACAGGCTGCCCAGGGCAGTGGTGGAGTCACCATCCCCGGAAGCGTTCAAAGAACATGTAGATGAGGCCCGCAGTGATACGGTTTAGTGGTGGTCTCGGCAGTGCTGGGGTAATGGTTGGACTTGATGACATTAAAGGTCTTTTCCAACCTAGTTGATTTTATGGTTCTATGATTCTTCTCCCTCCACAGCTTTGGACCATGCTCCTGATTAAATCACAAGAGCTGAGAGTAACTTAAACATACACTTCTTTCTTTTTTATTAAAGAAAGAAATAAATCCTGTCCAAACTGACAGCGTTCAGATTAATAGCAAAAAGCTCAACAGCTCATTTACCACAAAAGAACAAACAGAAAGGAACTAGTAGTCAAACAACTTGAACTCCCAATTCATGTGAAACTATTTTACCAGCAATGTCACAGAGCTCTGCATCAGAGGCGTTAGCAAGGGCTTCCTCCAGTTCCGGCTCCAGGGTCACACTTTCCAAAACAGGATCCATCGGCTTCTGCTTGGGGATCCAAGCTTTTCCTATAAATGTAAAGCCAGGTCACTCTCAGTACCACAATAGCACCTGTCTTACAACTAGCTGCGCAGATGCATTTCTGTGGGGTGAGATCTGCACAGCAGAAAGGACAAGGGGGCATAAAGACCTAAGGAAAATCAGAGCAGACACTGAATCCCTTCCCATTAGCTTGGCCTGAGTCCTGCTGCGGTGTGAGCCAGTGGGCGCCTGTCAGACACCTCCAGCCGTGGAGCTGGAGTCTTTCACCAGCACAGAGGCTGCACCTCCAAAAACCCAGCAGTCCATTTGTACAGGACAACGATGGTTCAACACACAGCAGTCAGAAAGCCACGCACAGCCCGAACCTGCAGGACTTCACTTCTTTGAAGGCTGCATGAAAGGGATGGAGATTTGCCAGCACCCACATGGACAAGAGAGACCAGGGGCCTGGATCCAGTGCTGTGCAGGACTGGTCCTGCCAGGGAGACAGCTCCTGATGCTAACTCCAAATGCACGGTGATTGGGCAGATGGTACATCAGCCAGAAAAGGGTGGAAAGGAGGTGGCGGAGGGTGTTTGTCAGCAGGCAGGGATGGCAGCCCAGAGAGCACATGGGGTGCAAAGCAAAGCAGGCTTGGGGCAGCTGACTGAGCTCAACATTGCTGCAGAGGACATTAGGGCAGGGGGGAGAGACACAGAGGGCATGCCAGATGGAGACCTCCATGCTCTACCTGCCAGGACAGCAAAAGGCCAAGGAACAGGCCTTTGCCCTACAGGTCACAGGAGCAAAGCAACTGGTGCAGCTCGTAACAAAAGCTGCCATGTCAGCTGCTTGTTTGTGACCTGGACAAGGGGCTGTGCGGCACAGCCCCAGCCCAGCTCTGAATGCCGTGGGCTCCTGGCAGACCCCATGCCCGGGATGAACACCGGGCAAGCCACAACGCTTTCTCTGCCAGAGCTGGCTGCGTCCTGGGTAGGCGTGGGGCAGCGGGAAGGGTTCGTGGCACTGCAGGGAACGCTCCCAGCTCTGACTGCTCGCAGCGCCAGCGGGTGGGCAGATCTGTGCGTGGAGGTCGGAGGTACCACAGCGGGGCTGCTCCTGCCGCCACTGGAGAACAGACAGAACGAAGCTTGTGGTGTTTCACACCACCACAGCAGGGAGCAGTCTGCTGGGTAAACCCGGCAGGGCGGGAGGAGGGATCCCAGCGCAGTCCCCTCCCCTGAGATAATCCAGGATCACCGCAGCGAGATAGCGAGCACAAAGCTCTCAGCCTGGCATGCCAGCCAGGGCTATTTTTGTCCCCACTCTGAAACTAGAGTCAGCGGCACCAAAGGGGAAAAAAAAAAAAAGATCCTGCTGCTCAGGGATGTGCAGAAACAGAAGCGGCTAAATTTAGCCTCAAGGAAGAAGCAACTGTGCTTCGGGCTCCCCTGGTTTGAAATAGAGGCTGCTATAAACAGCCTTATCCAAAACAGCCCATCTCCTGCCCGCACACTGCCACGCTGACGAAGAGGGCAGGAATCTGCCTCCTGGGACATAGCTGCTCTCACAAAAATAGGCAGTGTCATGTGTGCCTGCACGGCCAGGCACCTTCTGGGTACCCTGCCTGGGGAGGGCTGGTGTCCTCAGCGCTGCCCTGGTGCGGGGACCCAGAGCCACTGTCCCACCGGACACATGGCGCAGCAAACTGCACACCGTCTCGTCAGCTCAGCAGGGAACGGGGAAAGCAGGGCAGCTTAATTCTGCTATCACACAGCAACTCCTCTTGACATCTCAGCACCGCTGAAACTTATGGGGTTTAACTGTAGAAAGTTTCATATGTCGGTCATGCCTCATTACGAGTTTGAACTTTAAATTAATAGGTGCATGCAAACACAGCGTTATATATCACACTGCAGCATGTATGCACATGCCAACTCCTACCCTGTCCAGCAGCATGGCCAGGGAGAGCACCTCCCACGGCAAGCTAGTAAATCACCCTCTGAACTGCAAATGTGGTGATTTATTTCCACAGCTGTGAACATGTAATTTACTACCTCTATCTCACAGTCACTGTAAGTAATGTCTTCACTCAACTGTGTGTTACAAGTGAAAATATATTTAATGTGTTTGAGATCACATCAGATTGAAATATGATTAGCTCAGACCAGAAGCTGAAGACTCAAAATGCCTGAAATACCTTCACCTCCTGCTGAGCGCTGCTATTACCTGCTGGGCTAGGCTATGCTTGAAGTTGCTAAATCACTCTTCCTGATAGCACTCAATTTACTCTTTTCAATTACTCCTTTCAAGGAAAACTCTTTTTTTCTTCTTCTTCCATTTTTTTCCTAAAAATACTACCTCGTTTTATTAAATGGACAGATTTAACACAAGGTCTTTCACAGTGAGCTATGTGGATCAGTAAGGAGGCAGCTTTGAGGAACACCACAAGTGGGAAACATGCTCCTATGCTTAAATTTTCATGCACCTCTTTTTTGACATGGGGCAACCAGCAGCGAGAGCAGTGTGTAACCACATCTGCTGCAGGGGGATCATGGTACAGGGGGCGACAACACCAGAAAAAGCTGCTGAGAAGTTCCTGGAACTCAGAGACAAGGACTGACCAGATCATGTCTCAAATCAGATGATATTCAGAGTGCTAATGGGAGCAGGAAAGTCCTTTGGATAATACAAATGTCCCAGGAGAACAGGAAAATATGCCAGAAGGAAAGAGAAAAGGCAGAGCAAACCCGTTTCTCAAAAGCCCTAGGGCCATGCAGAGTAAGGGTGCAGGGTATAGTGCAGGGAAACAGAAACATGGAAACTGCAGACGACTGGGAAATGGGGCTGGGATTGTCCAGAGGTGATAAAGACTAAACAGGAACCACTGGGATCATCACAGCTGAGGGGACCTGTGGAGTTTCTCTGTACCAAGAAGTTCCGAATGGAGGGATGGAGGACAAAAGGCAATGTTGGAAGATGGAGCACAGGCTCCAGAACTCAGAGGGCAGAGAAGGAACAATAGAGGACAGAAGATGATGTCCATCCTGGAGCTTGATACAGTTGCAGTGGGATGGGGATGGAAAGAGACTGCACAGTGGTACAGCCTTTGTCCATCACTTACCAGATGGTACCGAAATCAGCAAGCAGAGCAACCTCCTGGGCACACCGCAGTTTATCAGCCAACATGGGCTGTAGCTAGACAGTGGACAGAGGATCTACCACCCCAGTAGTGTCAAAATGAAGTCACGCTTAGAAATGCAGATCAGGCAAAGCCCTTTTGCTGTGCACCCATTGTCCCTTCATCGCGACACACTGAGTGTGGTGCAAAGGATGACCATACCTCTCTTTTCACCCGTGAAGGGAACCAAGTCTTCTCTGTCTTTAAGATCCTTTGCCTGCTTTTCTAGGTGGGCCATGAGTTCCTCCCTTTTGAACGGGCCAGTTGGTGGCTTTTGTGTCTGATCCCGCTGCCTGAGCCCTGCCGGCAGCAATGCATTCTGGGCAGAGAGGGGAGAAACACGGGTTATCTCCGCAGGCCCCATCCATCAAACCCTCTCCCCTCTTCACTTTCCCCATTGCACTTTCTTCCACATTGCTGGACAATTTCCTTCTCCTTCTGTCGAAGGTTATCTTGACCTAACCAATTCCCACAGGATTTAAGACACGTAATGCTCCTACCCCCCTACAGTTTTAAATGCTGGCTCCACTACAAGATCTCCCTGCTGCCAAGTGGGTGTTTCTCCACAACAGCAGCTTTCTCTGGGGGCTCTCAGTCATCACCTCCTGCTATTCCTAGCCTCTTCCCCACCCTCACCATTTCTGCTGCCTCTTCACAACAGTTGCAGCACCAGAACCAAGCTGCTAAACTCAAAGGATCTTCTCCCTATACATGCCTGCCCAAGGGCCCACATGCCCCATGTGTCCCAGCAAGAATCAGGTCAGGGAAGAACATGGTCATTCACAGAGCAGAGCAGAGAGAGAGCTGCGATGGTTCCTTCTCTCCTTCATGGTCCATCACAAAACTATATAGAAGGTCTCTCCGTTGCAGAATAAAACCCCTGCAAACCTCAGCCCTTCTGCAAACTGATTCGTTATTCAGTCACATTAGCCACCATGGGAAGTTGCTTTGTGCCTGACACATGCGGCACGTAAGCACCTGCTTATATTTAAATATAGAACAGCCTTAATGCAGTAAGACTATTCCCAGATTTGGCACTAAGCATGTTCTTTAAAGCTTTGCTGGATAGAAGTCAACATTTACTTTTTAAGACATCCAAGGTAATTTTGAACACCGCACTGATCTTCCCATGCCTGCCTAATAAAAGTAATTCTTTATAATTTAAATTTTTATCAGTGAAAATCCTGTGAAGGAGAATGACTAATAGGAAGCAATTAGGCTTGCGCAACCTTGGGAGGCAAGAGAGGAGAACTGTGCTAATGCACAAGCAAGAAGGTGTAGAAAACAGCTTGCTTCCTCAGGCTTCATGCTGCGAGGGATGAGCATGCAATCTTCGTGCTTTAACTCCCGTACTCAGGCTACACCTGCAGTGGCAGATGTTTTTACCTTTACACACCCTTCACAGAACACTGCCTGACTCTGCGTCTTCCGAGTCAGCTGTAACCAGCCCATCAGCCCATACACATGCTTAGTCCTGGGAGCCAGCCTGCACCCCTTAATTAAAAATACTGATGATGCAATCGCCACTGCCCATCATTTCCCCCAGGAGCACTAACTGCGTGTGGCAGGAACAATCCCTCACTTGGCAGTGCCCAGCCTCATCAGCTAACGCTGCCATAACCCAGGGGCCTGCCAGTTGGCTCTGCGCATCCCCTGCTGGGGCCACAGGACAACGCTGCCTCCAAACAGCTTTCATTGCTTGGCACCAGCAGGTCCAGTGTTTGCATATGTGCAGCTCTTGCTAATGTTGGGAGATTGCTAAAAAACAATTGTCCCATTTTGCAAAACTCTGGGATTTGGATTTCTGCCTAAATGGAGAAAAATACAGACCAGTTTGCTATGAAAATAAAAGCCAAGCAAACCACAAATCCCAAAACATTCCTTCGGAGGTGGCCTGATCAGAAGCAATAGATCCTGTTTCTGCAAGTTTATCGCCCTGCACCAGTACTGGCTTACACTGGTGCTGCAAATCACAGCAGAGCATGCACACTGGAGCAAAGGCAGGGGAATATCACGGAAACAAAGTCCCATGTGTAGCCCATGCTTGCGATAGCAAAACTGCTTCTGCTCACCTGTGGCCAGTCTCCTCCATCCTTGCACTGAGTACAAGCTCTGCCAAGGATCCCACTTAAATACAGATTACTAGTGCAGCCCATTCCCCTACAAATACAGAGATTTATCACCTAGAAATCCTATGTAAAAATCACTTACATCAGGATCCAGCTCTTCCAGTTCATCCTCTAACTTCCTGAGCTCCTCCTCTGTCAGTGCTCCAAGGATCTTGTCTTCATCCAGGTCTCGGTATTTTTCTAGCTCCTTTCTGTAAGACATCTTAGAGGAACCTTGTGAATCTCGCTTTTACGCTGAAAGAGGACCTGAGAAGAAAACAAGAAGCGTAACACTGAATACATGAAACATGACACGGCAGCCTGTCTGGTTGGGGAATGCCAAATACCACAGAGTTGCAGAAGATTTATGCTTAAAGCGTGACTGACTTCAAAGCCAGGATAGCTCAGGCCCCCCTGTCCATATCCTACATGCAAGTAACAGCCCATGGTCCTGAGAGTGGCACAACTTCAGTAGCACATTGCCCCATCACTGACTTACAGGGCAGCACTGAGGAAATACTTTGTACAGGACCCTGGCCAGAGGTGTCAAACAATACCAGATATTAACAAAGTGTCCTAGGCATTTATTTCCTTAAAAGACAATAAACGAGAAACCATAGTCTGCAGCTCTCATGCCCTTACAAGCCCTCACTAACACCTCTCTGCACATGGCACTCCAGATAACATAGTCACCAGATGGGAAAACAGATTTGTGGCATCACTGAGTACCTCTGAGCCCTGCAAACCTCCACAAGGCTGCAGTGCAGCACTCTTCCCCGTGTTTTAAGGCCACAGGGAGATCAGGAAGTATTATCCTCTTGTGTTCAGGAGGCTGCCAGTTAAATGTGGTGTTCAGTGACCCACCTTCCCTAGGAGAGCACGTGTTTGTGCTGTGTAAGCCACGCAGCTGACCTGAGCATTACTGCACATCTAAACCAGCCCTTCAAGACGAGTATCAGGAGTAACATACTAACTGACCTATCTGGATAATCCCTTCTGACCCAGGGGTTTGCCCCATGTCTCCTACTATAAAATGCCATACGCAATCACACACATGTAACTGGGCCTCTGCCAGCTCTAAAAGAATGTAGTAGACCTACAAAGGTCAACGTGTTTAAAGTATGCAGGTGGGTTAAAAATACACTCATTACAACACACACAAGTGCGTTCAATTCTGCTTTTTTGCTGAAAGTTCCATAGTGGTCTCTGTATACTTAAGGGGTTTTGGCTCATTTTTGCAGAGAGTATTGAAGTCCAGGTAAACTGGCTTTTCACACAGTTTAAAGAAGTCCTGTTATTTTCTCAAGTGGTTTTTACATTAAAATAACAGAAAGGCCTGCTGATTTTTCCAAGGAGACAAATTAAGTGTTTATAAATGGCCTCTTTTCAGCTTCTGCAGAGCGTCAGGGCACTACCCCAAATCACATCTCTCCAGCTTTGCCCACACTCTTAGGGCAGATCATGTTTTCATGATCGGTCTTCATTAGCGGAGAAGTCTCTTTATACAACTTACAGCGCAGCTGCTGGTCCAGATAGGAGAATTATCTTTAGCTTGGTCACAAAAGGGCACACTAACACACACATGGCCTGCCAGCAAGCCCTTAAATTTAGAGCTGTCATCTGGTCAGATGTTTGGTGTCCCGCTGGTGTGATGGCTATTCTTGCATCACTCGCCTTCCTGCCACTCACCACTTAGGAGGTGGAGCACCTATAGGCTCCTATAGAGGGTGGAAACCAGTTTTTTGTGGGGTGTTTTGCTCCATACAATCAACCTGCAGGCACCAGGGTCGAGGGCAGTGGAAGGGTGAAGGAGGAAGCATGGGCTATGGTGGGTTTGGCTAAGTGAGGCAGTGGGGATGCCAGCACTCCTGTGCTTTACCAATTCCTGCAGCAGTCGCTGCCAGGCATCTTGAGCTGCGAGACTGATGTGCAGCAGCCATGCAGCCGTGCATGGGTCAGGCTAGGAGCCACATCCAGCAGCTCAGACCCAGCAGGACTGCCCTTCTGGTTGGCACAGAGAAAAGCAGAGCCTTTATCACAATTACCTAACAAGGCCAGGCCAGGTTGGATGGGGCTTTCAGCCACCTGGTCTAGTGGAAGGTGTCCCTGCCCATGGCAGGGGAATTGGAGCTATATGATCTTTAAGGTCCTTTCCAACCCAAACCGTTCTGTGACTCTATGAAGAACAAACACTTGTCATTTACAGCAATTTATTACTCTGAGGTGGGAGATCCTAGAAAAGCAGACTGGACCTGGATCTGGAGATGTGCCATCACACTGCAATCTTAGCTTGAAGAGCACGAACCATGACTAGTCTATATTTCATATTCATTTCTTAGTTTTGACTCCCCTGCTGTGGAAGCAGCTGGAGCTAAGAGCAAGCAGGACAGCAGCGGATAACCAACCCTGGGCTGGTAAATTCCCTGTAATGGCTTAAAATACCCACAGCTGCCATGCACATGGTAACCCCCGTCTTGGCTACGTGTGGACAACAACTCCTGCAGCAGCCCCAGCCCCTTCCTAGAGATGGTGGCTGGGCTGGGATGGAGCTCAGCAGGGCTGACCTTGTTGCTTCCTGCCAGAAGGACAGAGACTGTCAGCACCGGGAGGCGAAAGGCGGGACAGACATCGGATGTCAGTGCACGCAGGCAACACTTCTGGAAAGCGCTTTGGGTTTCAAAGCATCCTGCGGAGATATGAAGCCGGGGCTGCATATAGCAAAGGCCCTATTTGGGGTGAGGACAGGTGCAGAGCCTGCTGAAGCACAGCCCAAATCCCACTCGGGAAAGTTCTGTTTGTTACGTACCCCAGGCAGAGCGCCTGGGATGGGACAGGGCGCTCAGCCTCGCTGGTGCAGATGCACAGTGCCAACAACCCCGGAGCTGCCGCAAAGAGCGCATTGTGCCATGGCACAGGGCACTGGTACCACTCCATGCCACTGGACCAACCCTGCGGGCTCAGCACTTCAGCCTCCAGCATCAGCACTTGCTCCCCCTTATCTCCACATCCCCGGCCTCACCTACCCTGTCTTGCTAACATGTGCTGGGATTGAAATCCAAATAGCCCTTCTTTCATGTGAAAGTTTTATTCCTTTTCTAGTTTTTGTCAACAAAATAGTCCAGACTCTTATCTTGAAAATTTTTCACAATGAGAACAATCAGCCACTGGAATAATCTCCACAGGGAAGCGGTGGATTCCCCAATGTTGGACACTTCTAAGATTCAGTGGGACAGGGTGCTGGGCTGTCTTGTCTAGGCTGTGCTTTTGACAAGAAAGGTTGGACTGGATGATCCTTGAAGTCCCTTCCAACCTGGTATTCTACGATTCTATGATCTGCTGTAAATGGGCAGAGGGCTTTGTACTGCCAAAAATAGTAAAGTGGGTAACTCTGCCTAATCCTAACTGTTTTCACTTATACAACATAGTGGAACACCCATTGCCACAAACAGCTCTCACTGACCCCTGCTGGGGTTCAGGTATGCTTTAACACAGGTGCCCCCACACCTGCACTCCAAAGCAACCCAGAAGATCCAGCACAACTCAATATTATATCCAAGTTTTAAATCCAGGCACTTCTTGACATTCAGGAAAGAGTTAACCCTCAGTCACCACAAATCTGCTCGATCAAGTCTATTCTCAATGCCTTCATAAGATGGCAGCTTGGATTTCTTGCTGTTTTTCGTTAAACCTATCACTACACTTTTCATTCAATCAATGAAAGAACCATCACAGCAAAATATATGTGTAATGTACAGGAACTGTACAGGACTGATGCTATTAAAACTTTAAGTCCTCCAAAAATTGAAAGTTGTATTGACTACAAAGACAGCAAGGTATTAGGTCTCACTGTCCAAAGTATTAATCGGACACATGAGAAGACAGCCCAAACACTTGCACTTGGTAAGACTGAAGAGCACACAATTTGGTACACATGTACCAATAAAAGGTTCAAGGAGAAAACCTGTATCATGAGGGAGATGAACATGCACCATAGGTCATCTACAGGGAAGACTGTTCCTATCATGAATATAGGAAAACAAAGTAGATCAACAACAGCAAAAAAAGGCAACATTTGGGATTATGATGGGGATGGGACAGTTTCTTTCTGAACGGTCCAAACCCACTGAACAAACAAATAGGTGTTGTAGAACAAGTGAAAATGAAAAGCATGCCATACGACACTGGAAATGCTCCTTTCACTGCTCTGCAGTGGTGCAGCCTCCTGCAGTGCTATGCCCTTTCTGGGACACCGGAACCCGGGAGCAGCACTGACCTCCCCGCAGAAAGCCAGCAGAGACCTGGGAGGGTGGCCCACAAGAGAGAGAGCAGGCACAGGGACACAGTCATAGAATCACATAATAGGTTGGTTTGGAAGGGACCTCCAAAGCTCATCTAGTCCAACCCCCCCTGCAATGAGTAGGGACATCTTACACTATATCAGGTTGCCCAGAACCACATCCAGCCTGGCCGTGAATGTCTCCAGGGATGGCACATCCACCACCTCTCTGGGTGACCTGGGACAGTGTTTTACTACCCTCATTGTAGAGAATTTCTTCCTCACGTCCATGCTCATGGTTCTCAGGTGTGCAAGCAGGGAGGGCAGGCACAGGGTGGCAATGGGCTCAGGCTGCAAGAGGCTGCCTGGGGAGGCTGCAGAGCTGCACAGGTACCGCCAACTCGGGAAATCTGCAGGATCATCCCTCAGTGCTCTGACAGCCCCAGGGAAAAGAACAAACGAGAAAGCAGAACTGGGCAAAGTGACAGGAACAGAAGTGAGCAAGACAAATTCCCAGAAAACACAAAGGAGTCACGGAGGAAATGTGAAGACTGATTTTCCTGGATGCTGTGTAATGTGGTGACAGAGGTCTCGTACACACTTCTGCTGGGAAGCCCAGCCTCTACCTGCCCAACCTCCCATATGGACCAGGATGGGAACTACAGAAAGCCTTTTTCACATGTGCACAGGGAGGAAGAGCAACTGATCTCAGGCAAAATACAGGGCTTTTTGCTGATAAATTCTGTTATCAGTCCAAGCCAACACCAATTACAGTGTTTTGCAGTAGGCTGCAGCACCAGGTGGGGCTTGGTGCATCCCAAGACACCAGCCACGCCGAATCACCAGCAAAAGGCACAAAGGACAAGAACTCTGTGTACTCTGCCCCCCAGTGAAAGCCACAGCTGAAGAAATGAATATCCCCAGCCCCAGACAAGCCTCAAATCCACTGGGAAACTTTTTCAGTGCTTCAAAATAAGAAAGCAGACTGAGGGATGGCTTCTGAGTCAAGGAGGCAGCCCAGCAGCATCACCAGCACAGGTATTGAT